GCTGTTGCGCCGCCGCCACTGGTACAACCGTTCCCCCACTCACCCCCTGCTGTTGTGGCTGTGACGCCGTAGGCTGTGACGGCTGCGGCGGCGGTTGTTGTTTATTTTCTTGAGATTCAGTACCGTTATTCTTCTGCATCTTTACCTCAAACAAACCCTAGAGTAAACAAAACACACGTAAAAATACACACTTTTTATTTATATAATAATAATAAAAATAATCCTATAAAAATATAGAGATATAGAGTGTGTAAGTATAGGTGAATCTGAGAGAGAAAAAAAGAGGATGGAGGCTAAAAGAAAGAGAAGATTTATGGGGGAGGATGACGGGTTCAGTGAAGCCCTGTATGAATTATCAGCCGTTGGATTAAACGGTGGTCATTTAATATCTACCGTTGATTTCAGAATGTTTTGGATATATACGAACTGAATAGTTGCTTACTAAATCTTTACCCAGTTCGTATAAATTTGGTCGGCCACCAGTTTTGGGTTATCATCTTTTTTGTCTTTTTTAACCTCTTTAGGATTTTACAGTTACTGATTTACCTCTGATCGATTTTACAGTGATAGATATGACAAGAGAATTATGATTGCTATTTATAGTACTTGTAGGAATATTGTTGGATTTGACAGTCTTTTGGTAAGTAGTGCCACACTACTACTATTTCACTTTTTAATTTATTCATATAAATAAATACTACGTAACACTTTTTTTTTTTTACAATTGTTTAAATTAACAGAATACGGGTAAGATATGTATTCACGCTACTTTTTTCATACCTGACTTGAGAAATTACAATAAATTTTTTGTTGTTGTTATTATTGTTTGTTTTACAGATATTAATGAAAGGGTTATTATCTATATAGTGGATAATAATAATTATTTATGCATCAATCTATCTAGCATAAAATACTGCATTAATTAAATGGGCCATTGGATTGATCGTTGAATTTCAATCCATGTCTTCTGAGAGCATTAATTATTATTGATTTCTTGATAAAATCTAAGGAGATAAATCAATAGATTTGAATGATTTTAGTCAACTAAAATTTATAAGATATGCTTAGAATTCTCTTACTCTCCTAAAAAGGTATAGAAGAATTATTAATGATATAATGCACATTCACATTCAATAGCTCTCTTTAATAACTAACACTCCAAATAGAAAAATCTATAAGCTTTTTCTTTTCCAAATTGAAAAATGCTTACTTACACTTGGTACGTGAACCACACAAAGTAATTTAATTTCAAGAGTTATAAAGTAAAGAAAGAATATGTTTGACTTTTCGGATTTTAAAATTTTACTAACTACAATTAGGAATGGCCAACCAATGGTGTGTTAAGATTGACTGAGCATATTTATGTACACACTGATAGTCTTAGAATTTTGTTAATTAGCTTAAACAGTCAGTTAGTTAGCTTGTTGGTTAGTTAATGGTAGTTGTTAGTTGGTTAGGTATTGATGAGTTGTCACTAGCTGTCAGAACTCTTCATACGTGTGTATATAATGTAATCACTATAGTAAATGAAATCACTTCTGCATTCTCTACGTTCTCTCTCAAATATCCAGAATGTTCCTCCCATGAGCTGGTTGCTCCAGCTCGAGCTTTCTCTCTAATGGAGTCCACTCCTCACAATCTCAGAACTTAACATGGTATTAGAGCTCAGCTATGTTTTTCCACTTCAATCCTAACTCAAATCGCGTATCAATTTCACAATTTCAGGCGATTTCACCGACTCAATCAAATCTAGGGTTTCCCAAAATCTGGAAATCAATCTTCTGCTTTTGCGTCAATTATTTGTTTCGACTCAATCACCGATCTTCTTTAAAGTATAATCTCATCTTCCTCTTTCGATTCTTCAAATCATGGCCGGAGAAGATGATATCGCTGACCTAGTCACTAAGGTGCCAAACTTGGTGAGAGAGGTCATTGATTCGACTAATCCTCTATACATTCATCCATCAGGAAATGCTGGATCAACCTTGGTACCAATACCTTTTGATGGAATAGGATATAGATCCTGGAGAAGAGGAGTTCTGCGAGCCTTCTCTGTGAAGAATAAAATAGGATTTATCAATGGTAAATGTAGAAAGTCTAATGCTGATTCTGCGAATTATGGACAGCGGGAAAGGTGTGACGATATGGTCACCTCATGGATTTTGAACTCACTTTCGAAGGACATAACGGATAGCTTACAGTATGTAAATAATGCGAAGGAACTTTGGCAAGAATTGGCGGATAGATATGACCAGACCAACGGAGTTAAGATGTATCAACTTCAAAAGGATAACTCATGGCTCATTGGACATTACTGGCTATTACACAAAGATGAAGAAGCTTTGGGAAGAATTGCACACGTTGAATGCGAATACTCAGTGCAATTGCCAGCACACCTGTGGAGCAAATGCAAATATGCACAAGGCGGAGCAAGATAGGAGACTCATTCAAGTTTTGATGGGCTTGAACGAGGTATATACTGTAGTGAGAGGAAGTATTCTGATGATGAACTCACTGCCCACGATAGCACAAGCATTTTCTATTCTAATTCAGGAGGAAAAACAACGTGAGGTTAGGCCACACAGTCAGCTAAGCTTGGAATTTGCCTCATTGAATGTTCATGGACAAACAAACAGTGGTTTTAGAACAAATTATAATCAGGTGACAAACAATGTAGGAAACAATTCCTACAGATCAGGGAATAGAGGTCCACGTTTGTTTTGTGACTATTGCAAAAAGTCAGGCCACACTAAAGAGAAATATTACAAGCTACATGGTTTCCCACAGAACTTCAAGTTCACAAGAAGCAGGAATATAACATCTGCAGCAAATGTCCATGGAGGATCTCAAGAATTTCTGCCTGGAGAGCTTGATGTAGCTGATAATAGAGGACAGAATCAGAACCAGAATGCGCGAAACCTGACCAAAGAACAGTACAATCAGTTGCTCAGCCTATTGGGAAAACTTTACATTGGAACTATAGCTGAGACCTCAAACAACATCACAAGTGGAGCTGTAAACTTTGCAGGTATACTTGCTTGCTGTACTTATGATGAAATCATTGGTGATCATTCATATAAATGTTCCCACTTACCTGCTAATTTTTGAATATTAGATTCTGGTGCCTCAAACCACATGTCCTACAACAAAGATTTATTCACTAGCACTAGAACCTTACCATACCTATTTTTAGTTACTCTCCCAAATGGTTACAGGGTTAAAGTGACAGAGATAGGTGATGTAGTACTTAGTCCAAGGATGACCTTATACAGGGTATTTTTTGTTCCTAGTTTCAAGTTCAATCTCATTTCCATTCATTCATTAACATTACAACTCAAATCCATTGTTAATTTTTCTGCCTACACATGTGTATTGCAGGCCCCTTCAATGAAGAGGCCTCTGGAGATTGGTAGAGCAAGGAATGGTCTGTATTTCCTCTGCTCAAAATGACAATCAGTCAGTTCAACCTCTTCTCTCAGTTGTGGTAGTTCTAATTCATGTCATGATGCTAGAATTGTGCAGACTAATTCATCACTTTCATTTCCAATTATAGATAGCTGCCAGTCAAACAATAAAAGAGTCTGTGTTAGTGGATGTTGTACAAGCTCTTAAATCACCTTCACTTCCTATTGTAAATACCTACCATTCAGATAATAAAAGAGTTTGTTCTAATAATAATACTTCCTTGTCTGTCTCAAATCATGAAAGCTATGTTGATTACTTATGGCATAACAGATTGGGCCATGTACCTTTTGTGAAAATTTAGTTGTTCAGTCTGTCCCATGGCTAGACAGGGCAGACTTCCCTTTCCACAAAGAACCATATCTTCTACCCAAAATTTTGATCTATTGCATAGACCTTTGGGGCCCTTACCACCTTGCTACACATGATAATTACAAGTATATTTTGACCATAGTGGATGACTGTAGCAGATCCACTTGGACACAGTTATTGAGCTGCAAAAGCAATGACTAGAAACTATCAAAGCTTTTGTTTGCATGGTTGAAAACCAGTTCCAAGTATCAATCAAGACCATTAGGTCTAATAATGGACTAGAATTCACCAGCAATGAAGCCCTAACCTTTTACCAAACTAAAGAGATTATCCACCAAAGAACCTGCCCTTATACAACACAACAAAATGGTGTGGTTGAAAGAAAACATAAATATCTTTTAGAGACAACAAGAGCCTTACTGTACCAGTCAAAATTACCTCTGAGGTATTGGGGAGAGTGCATCCTAACTGCAACATATTTGATAAATAGACTCCCTTCTACAGTTCTGAATAACAAGTGTCCATTTGAAATCCTCTACAAAAGGAAACGTACATATTTTTATTTGAGGAGCTTTGGCTGTCTATGCTATCCTACTACTCTTAAAACCCACAAAGACAAATTTGAACCAAGAGCTAGCCCATATATATTTGTAGGATACCCTTTGGATCAAAAGGTTACAAGGTACTTGATCTGTCTAGTAAAAGGATACACATTTCTAGAGATGACAGTTCCATGAACATATTTTTCAATTTGCTATTTCTCCTAGTCATTCCACTTTTCCTTCTGTTTTACAATTGATAATTTCCAGTCCAAGTTGTGCACTAAATCAGGCCAATTTTGAAGATGGTTGTGATCAAACTAATACTTTGGATAATTGTCAGCTGCAGGATAGGAATCACACACGCAACTCTATCACTAGTTCCCCTATATCTGTTGATCATGATGTACATACTACATCACAAAACATACCTCCTGCACCTGCATATGAGTCACCTACAACAGGTGACCTGGACACTCCCACCAACTATGTGCCTGATCCACCTACTATATTACCAGAACCTAGAAAATCTACCAAGACACATAATCCACCTTCCTACTTAAATGACTATGTTTGTTCTCTTCCAACATTAAAGAACACTCTCAACACACACATTCACTCAGTTATTTCTTTTCCAAAAATCAACAAATTTCACTCAATACCTTAAGCCAAAATAGCCAGCAGGTTATGAGGGACATTTCACATGACAGTGAACCATGTTCATATGAGGAGGCAACCATAAACCCTGCTTGGCAAGCAGCTATGACACAGGAATTTGAGGCCTTGTATGCTAAACATACTTGGGATTTAGTAAATTTGCCTGCAAGAAAGAAGGCTATAGGATGCAAGTGGGTGTACAAGATCAAACACAAAGCAGATGGAAGCATAGAGAGGCTCAAAGCAAGGCTTGTGGTTAAAGGTTACACACAACAGGCAGGGATTGACTACACAGAGACCTTCTCCCATGTTGTCAAAATGACAACTGTTAGAACATTGATAAGTGTGGCTGTGAAGAAAGGTTGGGACCTTTTCCAATTGGATGTAAATAATGCCTTCCTACAAGGAGATTTGCAAGAAGAAGTGTATATGGATGTCCCACAAGGTTTGCAAGTTGACTCACCAGGTGTTGTATGCAAATTGAAGAAGTCCTTGGATGGACTGAAACAAGCTAGCAGACAATGGTATGACAAACTTACATAATCTCTGTGTTCAAGAGGTTTTGTACATTCAGCTAATGACTACTCACTTTTCTACAAGAAGGATGGTTCCTCAAGTATATTTATGGCTGTGTATGTGGATGATCTGATCCTCACATGGACAGATTTGGAAGAGATCACTGGTTTGAAGAACTTCTTACATGACAAATTTAATATCAAAGATTTGGGCAAGCTACACTACTTCTTAGGCCTGGAAATATTCTATAAGGATGATGGAGTGCTTATTTCACAAAGAAAGTTTGCTACAAATTTGCTGAAGGAGTATGACTGCCTGGGATACACTACAGTCTCTTCCCTTCTTGATTGCACAGTTAAGTTGAAGGCAACTGAAGGATCACTGTTAGCAGACCCCACATATTACAGGAAGCTTGTGGGGAAGCTCAACTTCCTCACAAACACAAGATTGGACATAACATATAGTGTGCAACATCTAAGTCAGTTCATGCAGTCACCAAGAAAACCACACCTTAAAGCTGCATTGCATGTTCTTAGGTACCTAAATGCTGATCCTACACTTGGTATTTTCTTGTCCAACAGCCCTGACTGTACCTTGAAAGCATATTGTGACTCAGATTGGGCTGCTTGTCCTGATTCCAGAAGGTCTGTGAGTGGGTATGTAGTTCTATTTGGAGAAAGTGCTATCAATTGGAAATCAAATAAACAAGACACAGTTTCCCTATCCTCTGCAGAAGATGAATACAGATCCATTCGTAAGGTAGTTGGTGACTAATATGGATAAGGAGACTGTTGGAGGAATTGACTGATACATACCAACAACCTGTTCCTGTTTTCTGTGACAACCACGCCGCTGTGCACATGGCAAAGAACCCTGTGTTTCATGAGCGTACAAAGCATATAGAGGTTGATTATCATTTCGTAAGAGATAAGCTACAGGATGGGTTGATCACTCTACACCACATCTCAACAAATGATCAATTGACTGATATTTTGACCAAAGCCTTGACATGCATCAAACATACCAGCATTCTTGTAAGTTGGCAATGAATTCTTCCCCACCAACTTGAGGGGGGTGTTAAGATTGACTGAGCATATTTATGTACACACTGATAGTCTTAGAGTCACAGTTTTATTAATTAGCTTAAACAGTCAGTTAGTAAGCTTATTGGTTAGTTAATGGTAGTTGTTAGTTAGTTAGGTATTGATGAGCTATCACTAGCTATCAGAACTCTTCATACGTGTATATATATTGTAATCACTATAACAAATGAAATCACTTTTGCATTCTCCACATTCTCTCTCAAATATCCAGAATGTTCCTCCCATGAGCTGGTTGCTCCAGCTCGAGCTTTCTCTCTAATGGAGTCCACTCCTCACAATCTCAGAACTTAACATGGTGATTTTCTAATCTAACGGATAAGAAATTATCAATTAACTTTTGTGGTGTTTGATTGATGAAAATAACGTTCTTTTTTGTTCTTTGTTTTCGTTTTGGACATTAACATATATTTCATCTTATTTATCTCATTCATTAGCAATTAATAAGAGTCAGTTTGAAGCTTAAACAGTTAAATGAAAACTTTATGTCATTCCTAAAATTACACTTTACAGACCAATAAAGTAAGATAAAAACGATTTAAAGACAATTTACAAACTGATAGATTTAAGTCACAATAGAGATATTCTAATGACATAAATTAATTAATTTATCTACAAGCTAAGATAAACTAGGTTACAAAAAGGAGAATAATACTACTATATCCAACTTCCAAGGCAATAAATTCAAGCACAATTACATATATAGCTACATGTAAATGGATTAATCATACAATATTATAAGTATGATCGAAGACCCAAACTAGAAATTGAAAGACTAAAATACCCTATATCATATTATATTATAAGTATTAAGACCCAAACTGGAAATTGAAAGACTAAAATAACCCTATAAAGCTGAGTGACTATAATATCCTTCAACATAATATTCCTTTAAATAAGTTTTGTCTGAAAACGTCAATACACATTCTAACAAAATTAATTAAGAAAGTTATTGAAATAAACACAAACATAGAAGCTCTTTGACCTTCACCGTTAAAAAGTAACCTCATATTAAATACTTTAATAGGTACATGGATGTGATTAACTGGGAATTCTATTAAATGATAAATTATAACTACACGTTTATTGAAAAAATTTCACGTCTTAGCTTTAACTTTTGCTCCTTTTATCTTCCACCCTTTGTAATCCTTTCTGTCATTTTATAAAATGAATAAGTTTAGATCACTTCATTATTCATTAGTTATATCAGTTTTCTCATAAAAATCAAAATCATACTGTATTATAAGTGGGAAGTTTCAAAGTTGAAATTAAATTATCGAAATGTTCATCAAAAGCTGAAAGACTATTTTGCCCTTAACTTGAATAATATTTCAATATGTATATATTTTTCTGGTCGCGCATAGCGGGAGCTTAGTGCACCGGGCTGCCCTTTTATATATCTTTGTTACAAAACAAAAAACTTACATGTCAATCATATATATATATATATATATATATATATATATATATATATATATATATATATATATATATATCCCAATTACGATTAATAGGGTAAGTGAAAAGACAACTATTGCTTGTACTTTCACCCATTACTTCAGTTACTTGAATTACTTTCATCATCTAAACCGTTGGAATGTCTTTCATTTCAATTTCCAACAGTTATGCAAATGTGTAAGTATTCACTCATCTTGATTTACTTTTAAAAGCATAATTTGAACTAAATTCAACAATTCATCTGATTCCATCTCCAACACACAAAACGTATCTACACCTATCAAACAAGGTAAACTTTTTCTTCACATATTATTTTTCATCTTAGTTTCGTCAATTTAATTTCTAGAACTATTTCTTTTGCTCTTCCTAACCATTTTTTAATACACAGTAGTAATGGATAGTACGTTCTTTTTAAAAAACTGATTCAATTGTCAAATGTAGAGAATATCTTGGCATATCAAAAAAATAAAAATAAAAAGGGGACTACAATTTTGGGATATGCGGTTCATATTTTTTTTAATATATTTGGATTTGTTATTGGATAAATTGAATTTCTTTGTGTATTAAAACTTTTGCTACGATACAATTCTTTATTCAGTCATACGAATCATAACTTTTCTTGTTGAGATAGTGATTTATCTAATCATATATTTTGTGGTAAGTTCTGCTAGAAATTTTAGTTGCTACTATTTTTTAGTGCGTTTATTTACTCATTCCTGCCGAAAGAAACAGAAGCAATGTTAGGAGTTTGACCTTTTATGGTATATGGTGACCCCAAGGACGCATACCTATTTACTACTATGGAAGACGATGGTAGAATAGTAAGTATTCATCTATTCTTAACCAAAGATCTCGAGTTCAAGACTAAGAGCCTGTTTGGATTGACTTATTTTTAGTGCTTTTAAGATAAATTGCTTTTAAGTCATTTTGTAGTGTTTGGATAAAAGAAAAATATATTTTTAAGCACTTATTTTTAAGCTAAAATGACAAAAATAAGCCAAAAGCCAAAAGTTAGAATTCTTAACTTATGGCTTTTGACTTAAAAGTCACTTAAAACAAGCCCATCCAAACGGGCTCTAAGAATGAAGTCTTCTTTGATAAGCAACTCTTAAAGTGAAATTTTATGGTGCAAATCCGAATTAATTAGTGGAACATCGGATAGGAAATATAAAAAAAAGGTCTCACACATATTCAAATAAATTCCTTCTCATTAGCTTTTTGTTACTTTTATTATAAATCATTTTCTGTTAAACCCCAGTGAATAGTAAATCACGTTTCGCTTTAGAGTCATAATTTTTTTTTCTTTAGTTGATTATGTATTTCCCTAACATCTACTTATTCTTTCCCAAATGAATATTTCATTTAACAGATACCCATTTATGTTCCTTTTTCTCTTATTTGTTCACTTCTGGAAAGGTGAAGCTTCAACAAAAATTGATGATAGTATACAATTTATTGGTGATAGTACAAGAGATTTTACCTAATGTTAAGAATCACACACATACGGTATGCCTTTATTTTAATATATTTACATTTTAAAAATATTTTCTCCTAAAGGTTTTTGATATTGCAATAGGTTTTCCTTTCTCTTATAAGAGTTCTTTTAAAATATATGTACTAATTGGTATGGGATACACGTGCAACGCACGTGTTCGAAAACTAGTTAAACTTATACACATTAACTGTATAAAGATTTTCTACACAATTAGGTAAATGGATTATCAGTGGCGGACCTACATTAACGTTACTCGTGCTTGAGCACCATTTTTTTTACCCACACACTAAACAAGGGCAGCTTGATGTATTAAGCTCCCACTATGCGGAGTTCAGGGAAAGATCGGACCACAAAGCTCTATTGTACATAATCTTAACCTGCATTTATGCAAGAAGCTATTTGCCTGGCATTTTAAATTGAAGACTAGTAATAATATACAAAGTTATTGATTAAGCACCCAACCTTAGCAAGTAATTTCAGATTAAACGCAGTTGAGCACCCACGTTGTTAAAATTCCAGATTATTCTTTTATGTAGGTCCATCTGCGTGACCAACACCAGGGCTGTGGCCTGGACCTCCTTCTGTTAACATATCATCAATAACAGCAATTGGGCTTGGTTTATGATCTTCTTCTGAAACATTATTGACATGCATATTGTTATGATCATGAACAAAGTTGAGGTTCTTCACTTTTCTTTGGCTATTTTCTCCATTGCTTATTGTGAAGCTTTTCTTCTTCTCTGTTTTCAAGACTCTTCCCTCACTCAATAAAGTCTCATAGGAGATGATTATTAATGTTAGGAAAAGAACACAAGCACACACCACTTTTGCTTCAGCCATTTCCCTAAAGATTTCTCTTTCTCTTTCTCTCACTAACTATTCTTGGTTTGGTGGGTAGGATACTTGTACTGATGCTCCATTCCTCTGACGTATATATAGAGGAAGCGGCAGAGACGGATCCAGAATTTAAACTCTATGGGTTCATCTTTTAAGTTTTTAGCATTGAACCTATTATATTTTTAAAGTTGTGTCCATTACTCAAATGGTCACTCAACTATCCCAAATTATCTCCTAAAGTCACTTTTCTTTCGTTTGAAAATTATATTATATATATTTCATGCACAACTTAACATAGCATATTTTACCCAATACAGATAGTCCCCCAGCTTTCCGTTGACATAACTTTGTGTCATCGAAAAGTTGGTAGAAACATAATAATATAATTGAGCATAATTTTCAAGAATATATAATGTATATTATAAAAATACCTTTATTTAAATAATTATTTTTATATTACGTGCATGAAATAAATATTTTACATTCTTTATTTTCTTTCGTTCTGAATTGTGTAGATAAATTTTTGAATTTTTATTGTTAATACTAAAAAGTTTAAAAAAAAGATAAATATTTATAATTTAGAGACTAAAATAGGTATTTGGCAATCCAAAATTTAGAAATCTAGTTGAGTGACCTTCTGAGTGCAATAGGCATAGTTCAGTGACTTTGTTGTTACAAACGAAAGAAAAATGACTTTAGAAAATAATTTGGAATAGTTGAGTGACCATTTGAGTAATTTACTCTTTTAAATTTATGAGTTCATATCAATTATTTTGCAACTTTATAATATTTTTACTCCGCATCAAAATTTATGAATTTAATTAAATCTGTCATTAATACGCTACATACGCCTCTGGGCGGGGGGGCCATAGTCTTAAGAGCCA